ATTGACAAGCATTTATTAATTAGAATTCAAATGCCACGTGGGATCGACGGTCACCGATTGACTGTGATATTCCCTGCGTAAACGACCGTTACGGGAAGCATTTTAATGTTTATGACCGAAATAACCCTACACTCGTTTGGATATACAGTATCGCAATCGGTCCCACTCGACAGTCAAAATCCATTATTAATTTAATTGGTCCCCACTAACCCGTGACGTCGTTCCTAGCTTTTTGGTCAAAATGGATCTACAACTGCTATTAATATTGGGCTCAACAAAGCCCAATTATCATTATTTTCTTTTGACTTTGATTTGTATATCATCATTCTTCACGATACATTATCAATGATGCTGACCAAAAAGAAAGAAATCTAGTAAGTATATATCAACTTCCAACATGATATCACAAATAAATAAAGACATTCATTTATGGTGAACCTAGCTAGCTACTCCCTACTGCTTTTGATATCAAATAAATATATACACGGCTTGTATATCAACCACTTTGCAAGAATACCATTTCCAACGGGAAAATTATATTGGTTCCGACATGAAAAAGTCTCTTGATATTCGATTACCATAATCATTAATAACAATAAGTTAAGTTTGAGATGAAATGAACCACATTTCATTTGAAGATTAAAAGTTGATGGAAAAAAGAGCCGCCTAATTATGGGTCACCCCAACATTGGCAGCTGAGCCATAGAACCCTTCTGATCTTCCCATCATCACATCCTCTCCTTCCTTCATTTCCAAATTTTTAATTAGCAATTGGGACATTTATATATCATCAAGTTTTACAATAAACTCAAACAGGTTTTTTAATTAATTAGTAGCTAAGTTATAATAACTAATACATGTGTGTAACGTAAAGATAGTAACCTGCTGGCGCACGTTGGCCTTCTTGGTGGGAGGATGATCAGGCATGAGACCAAAGTGTATGTGAGGGAAATGCGCCCACTGTTTCACACATTATGTATATACATTCAACATGCGTTAGCTAACACTTATTTGTGATCGGTTACAATCGAACTATGTACTTGGCTTTCTAGGTTTG